CCTGACCGGAGACCCTGCTAGCTTTAAACACTCACTGTGCACACCCGCCTGCAGACCCTGCTAGCTTTCAACTAACACTCACTGGGCACACCTGCTCCAGTCCTGATTTTTAAACTAGTTTTAAACTATCACTGTGCTCACCTGCCTGAAGACCATTCTCGCACCAGTGTCGCCTCACAGTTCAGAGTAAAACTGTATGGTTTAAATTCATGGTTTGACAATGCCAAAAGGACATGAGCGTGGTATGCAAATGCCACAGATATGTGGAGCCAGCAGAAGACATTTTACACAAGAGTCCGTGTGGTTCTTTCTTTTAGTGCCTCAGTTAGGGCTCTTCGTCTTGCCTGTAAACAAGCTGCTGGTAACCAAACAGAGGGGGTGAATGGAGATTCTGTCCACTCAGATTAAACTGAGATCTAGAAAAGACTCAGAGAAATGTGACTGCTGTCTACAGGGGGTGGTGGGCAGCTGGGAAACAAGCACAGGAGAGCAGGAGTCCCACTGGGAGCGTAGCACTCGGGCAGCCCTCACCCCCCTGGTGCTCACCGGATAATACTGTCCAGACAGTTGATCTGCTGGTAGGAGTACGGGGACGGCGAATCCTTCTTCACTGCCTCCTCTGGAGCCGAGGAACGCTGGGCAGAGGCTGCCTCCTTGGCCACCTCCCCAGCTGGCCTCACTGCCGCGCTGCTAGCCGTCGGCAGCACCGGACCTGGGCGGGGCCAAGGGGAGGAGAGACTGAGAGACGGAAACACAGGAACATGCCGGGTGGGGAAGACCGCCACCTACTGGCCTTCCCATCCTAAAGTGGATTAGGGTTAATTATGACCCTTTAACCCTGGTTGTTTCTGTCCGAGTTCTCTTTGTTACAACAGAACATGCCAAGCATGTGCCGGACTATGTGCATCGAACATAGTAGCGAACATAGTAGCAAGGCAGCGTGGGATTTACCTGCGCTGGCGTGTTTCTGGGGCAGCGGTTTACTGCGCGACTCGATGAAGACCTGCTGGCCGTGGTTCTTCACCATGTGCACGTCCTTACAGATCTGCTGGAACGTCATCTGGAGACAGGCAGAGAAAAGGAGGTGAGTCCCAGATTGGCAATACGGAGCCGAGCGCTCCAGTCTAGGCTTTCTCAGCAACCTGTCCTGCGACAGGCTGGAATAATGCACAACAAACTCACTGACACAGCTGCTGCATGGGAACAGTCCACTGTAACACAGGGAAGACTGAGCCAGATGGCGCCACACTCGCTGGGCAATTTCTGGGCCGCTATCAGCCTACGCTGGCTTACCGGCTTGTGCAGCAGTGTCTCGTCGGCGGGCGCCCCGTTGCTGTCGCTGGACGAGGCGATGCTGAGGTAGTGCTCATGGGAGCCGTTACTGCCCACACTGCAGTAGCCCAGAGAGCCGGTGGCGTGCACAGGCTGGGGAGGGAGAGAGGGTTTGATCAGCAAATTCAACCCATCAGTAATCAATTCCTCAAGACGTCCAGAGGGCGACTACACCAAGACAGGACAAAACCCTGGGAAAAAAGCCGAGAAGGGCCGAATCCGAGTGGACACCAGTGGAAAACCAAGATGACTACATGAATTGACCAGGATAAGGTTTCAAGAAAGGGGTATTCCCTAGCCTGTGGGACACCCCCCTGACC